TTTAAGATCTGTTTATCTATTTTGTTTACCTGGCAAAAAAAACATAAGACGTTGTGCTATCTTGCCTTTTTTTTATCTTACCTTAATGTTGGTTATTATCTTAGTTTATGAACTTGCTAATTTTGTTGTTTGTTTTCTCTCAAAAGTCCAACTGCATATCATAGGAGTACAGGATGGATATATGGGAATTTCCCCATCTTGAGTTCTGAGTTGAATAGATATTTACAGGGATAATTCGGAAAACATTCCAAAGATTTTCTTTAATAGTATTGTATGGTTTTGTGGATCATGGCCATAAAGCTTATGCATTCATATTCACTTACTGTGTCGGTGTTTTAGCGTGGGTTCAGGATTGATCACCCTGGATGTGTGCCCTCACTTGGTTCAGAAATATATCAATACATATTAGTTGTTCCTTGAGTGTCTCTTAGGTTGAAATTAGAATGTGTCATTTAGAATTGGATCGTTCTGATATTCAGCAGTAAGTCTGTTTAACTTAGTTTGTTATCTCCTATGTTATTACCCTCTCAAAGTATTTGAGTTTTAACATATCTTATTGTATACTGTTTGTTTACCTGTCTCTCTACTAGTGATATGGATTGGTAGATGTGAGTTATCGTTATCTGTATCTTAATTGAGGTTATCTTTACCTTGATGGAGTTTATCTCATACCTGTAATGGAGTTTATTTCGCATCTTTACCTTGAGTTTATCTCGTACCTTGACTGAGTTTATCTCGTACCTTTACCTTGAGTGTATCTTTATCTTTACCTTAATTGAGTTTATCTCGTACCTTTACCTTAATTGGTTTATCTTGTATCTTTACCTTAAGTTAGTTATCTTTACCTTTACCTGGATAAGTTTATTTCTTATCTATATCTTATGAATATATATCTTATCTATATCTTGATTATAGAGTCCTGAAAATCTGTCCTTTACTGTTCTTGTCGTGAATAAAGAATTGGACCACGTCTATAGTACAGTTTAGGTATTACAGTTAGGATCTCTTTTATCTTTCCTTCTACCAAGTGTATAGCTGGTAGAAGTGAGTTTTGTGCATACCCTCTACCATGAGTAGATCTGGACGTGCAATTATCTTTTACCTTTTGTGCATATCCTTTACTATGAGTTGGGATTGCAGTTACCTTACTTACCTTTTTTTAGCATACCCTATACCATGAGTATAGTGGGCTTGCTAGTATCTAAGGCACTAACAACCTTTACCGATTGTGTGCTTTGCTACCGCTGCTAGAGCAAGTAGGTGTATTGAATTAGCTTTTACCTTGGATTTTCAATATGTTGTTGATATCCCGAACCATATATATCTGTTTAGGTTTGTAGTTTCAACTAGTCCTGAATAATTAGGCCCTCATTGAACTCTATGGTGACGAATAGAATCTGATCGCTCTAGTGTCAACGTTGGGTAAAGTTCATAGGACTTTGTTTGAATTTCGTTGTTATGAATGGTTCTTGGAGATATTGTGTTAGGGGTTGTTAATACACATCTATAATGTAGTTTTAACGAATGGTTGTTTTTACAAATACTTGAGAATGTAGATAAGTAGTGTTAAAAGTTAACTTGATTTGTAAGGTTATAGAATTAAACTTAAAATGTATATTTGTTTTTTATCTTTGGTTTATACTAAATTAATATACATTATCTCATTAAAAAAAAATGTATGACTTCGTCTCATATTCTTCGTTCCATATTTTTATTTCCTCCTTGATTTTGTTCCAATTCCTGAGCAAATGGTTGACTGGTGAGGAAAATGTTCAATTTTAACGTATCAACGTTCATTGTCGACCCAGCGTTAGATCGTTCTGCCACAAAAAAAAAGGTCCTTTTTTTTTTGCTGGAGATGAGGGAGAATGTAGCGTTTACGCTACTGACTAGTCCAATTTAAACCCCTTAAGAAATTTTTATTACCCGCCTACGATCGATTTTAAATCGACATTTTTCCCACACGCGCTGTTATCGCTTTGAAAGGAAGATCGATTTTATGCGGAAGCGAAGTTTCAGTTTTGGTCAGAACTCGTAAACGCAGACACGCCAACCGGTGAGTCTTTTTCTCACGTTCAAAGTGACGGAATTGGGGCAAATAAAATCTAGGACAAGATAAAAAAAAAATATATAATTCATAAATAATAATAATAATAAGAAATTTTTCTAATAAAACCAATATTCATTTATAAGAGTTCCACATAAAAGGAAGATTTTTTTGGCGTGCTGCAGCTCCATGTAAGTAAATCATTTCATACGTATTATCTCTTTATCATATAATCAAATTTATCATTGTGTTTAGTATTTCTTTAGAGATTTATTTTTGAGTTCCGAAATAATTTAAATATAAAATTTCCTTGATTTACTTGCAAAGAACAGAAGGTCATTTTTTTTATATAGTCAAACTTAAATTCCGATCTATTTCATATCTTATCATTAAGTTTTTTATTGGGTCCCTTTTATCTAACTTTTTTGGTGGAATATAAAAAGGTTCTACAAATGTGGGACAGCCTTCTGTATTCTGCGCATGTTTATTTCATGGCGCAAGCTTGCCATGCCTACGACAGTAACTTCATAAATTTGACATGATGTTGACTTAACCTAATACCAAATGTTTTGATGTTTTGTTTTGGTGCAGTCAATCCATGCTGCTACACCTATTGAATTGTATTTATTAAATTAAATAATAATTTTAGATTCCGTCACTTCACTTGAGGATATTCTCTTCAGAATATTCCCTCAAGGACTCAAGTAACTAAATTTCTTGAATAGTTAGCAAACCCGTGGATTTTGCTGTCACCCAGAGACCAGTGACTGGTTGTGGCTTTTGTGACCAGGATTCGTCTTTACAGCCATAAACTGATGTAGCCGTGCCAAGAGGAGTTTTTCCTATGGACTTATAGTGCTGTAAAGATAAGTTGTTTAACTATTTGACCTTTTGTATTACGTATTACTTTCTATTTACTGTTAACTTTTCATATGCATATGATCAAGTAACTACATTTTGATAAAATATAATTTTATCAAAATCTGATCGCTCTAGTGTCAACGTTGGGTAAAGTTCATAGGACTTTGTTTGAATTTCGTTGTTATGAATGGTTCTTGGAGATATTGTGTTAGGGGTTGTTAATACACATCTATAATGTAGTTTTAACGAATGGTTGTTTTTACAAATACTTGAGAATGTAGATAAGTAGTGTTAAAAGTTAACTTGATTTGTAAGGTTATAGAATTAAACTTAAAATGTATATTTGTTTTTTATCTTTGGTTTATACTAAATTAATATACATTATCTCATTAAAAAAAAATGTATGACTTCGTCTCATATTCTTCGTTCCATATTTTTATTTCCTCCTTGATTTTGTTCCAATTCCTGAGCAAATGGTTGACTGGTGAGGAAAATGTTCAATTTTAACGTATCAACGTTCATTGTCGACCCAGCGTTAGATCGTTCTGCCACAAAAAAAAAAGTTCCTTTTTTTTTGCTGGAGATGAGGGAGAATGTAGCGTTTACGCTACTGACTAGTCCAATTTAAACCCCTTAAGAAATTTTTATTACCCGCCTACGATCGATTTTAAATCGACATTTTTCCCCACACGCGCTGTTATCGCTTTGAAAGGAAGATCGATTTTATGCGGAAGCGAAGTTTCAGTTTTGGTCAGAACTCGTAAACGCAGACACGCCAACCGGTGAGTCTTTTTCTCACGTTCAAAGTGACGGAATTGGGGCAAATAAAATCTAGGACAAGAATAAAAAAAAAATATATAATTCATAAATAATAATAATAATAAGAAATTTTTCTAATAAAACCAATATTCATTTATAAGAGTTCCACATAAAAGGAAGATTTTTTGGCGTGCTGCAGCTCCATGTAAGTAAATCATTTCATACGTAATATTATTATTGGGAGAGGGAAAATATATTACCTGTTTTTATTAGTTTTTTTTTTAAATAGGATTTCAAGAGTACTGACCAAACTCACTTTTGCTATTATATTTTTTTTAATAGAATACATTTTTGATATAATACAATTTTGATTTTGGGAAGGGAAATAAATTTCATGTGGTTTTTTTAAACATTATATAAAGAAGTATTGAAGATTCACTTTTAAATGTAATATATTTAATAGAATTGTAACAGATTTATCACTTTTGATATCTTTACAATATTGTCATTAGTATCTCATATTAGTAGAACTATTTAAAGTTAAATTACTAACCTTAGTGTTAAGACTTAGGCTACCCTAAGGACTATTCTTGGTTTATACTAATATTTCATATTTTATTTGGCCAGTGGTAGTGATTATTCGTTTGTCGAGGGGCTATTAGGTCCCATTGTATGTGTACACCATCCACTACCACTGTTATTTGGCTTTGCATATATGTAAATTTTTTATACACATATACCTATATACATTTTTTATAAATATATTTATTGTTGCTATTTTGAGTTTTATTTCAGTTCTACTAACCAGTATATAACATAGCAAAACAAGATTATTATTTAGTATTTTTGTATTTCAGAGTATTATCTCCAGATTCATTTGTTACTTCAAAATCTCAACTATCGTTGAGTTGGCGCCCTTCTTTTCTCTTCTTATTGTTCTTTTTCTATAAATTTATTCCCAGTGACCTTCTTCAGTTGTATCACGTTTGATATTACCAGGTCTCATTTCTTTCTTGTCTCATTAGCTCATTATCTCTTGTTATTGTTTTTTATATCTTTAAAGCCACAATCCAGTGCATTGAAGCTAGCCCGAACACTCACTTGAGATTTAGTGTCTCTTTGGCCATTTAAATTTGTTCCTCTGAGCTTAGCCCTATTTTTAGTTTTTTTTTTCATCACTTCTCCTTCAGTTCTTCTGAAATTTGGAAGTTCTACACTTCCAAAAACCCAATACTCCCGGAGTATTGAGCGTTTCATTATTAAAAATAATAAAATAAATCCCATGAATTAAATTAAAATTTGTCATACTACTTACTAATTAAAACTTACTTACAGCATCATTATCAATCTTTAAAAGTCGTTTAACTTCTTTTTCAATTTCTGGAGCCTCTACATACTTCTTTTTTAAAGTTTTTCTAAACCTTCTTTTCCTTACATTCTTAACGGGAGGTGTTATTCCATGGGGCCATAAATACTTTTTGTCAACTTTGTTTGAATCTTTTTTTTTCTTTTGTGGCGAGTCCTCATCTGTAGTAGTTTGGTCATCCTCTTCTTTACAAACTAACATCTGGCATATATCAGCGGTTTTATAAAACCCCTTGGTATCAATTGTTTTTAATGATTCAACTATTGTTGGTAAATCAACAACTTTTGCACCCATGAGCCAATGATCTACTCTAACTTCACCATGACGCATATCTTCATCAATTTTAATGCCTACTCTATCTTTTAATGAATTATTATTCCGAATTGCTTCTCTTAATGCTCTAGCTGGTTCCTTAAAAAGTGTATTACATTAATAATAAAATAATTTTTTTAAAATGAAAAAATAATAAAATTGTTTAAAATTCCGAAAATGTAATATAAGTGCAGTTTTTTAGAGTGTTTGCAGCTAAAGGTCAATATTTAAAGCGTTGAGCTGTGTGGTGACCAGTGGCAGCGCTGAAAGTATAAACAAGAGCAATAAAAAAACTTACAAAGAAATAAAGACTTCTGATGGTATATTTTATGATTAAAATATTTAAAATTTATTCAAAAGGATTACAAAAATCCTAAGAATGTTTTCAGTCCAGTTGGATCAGTAAAACATCTTGAGAGTAGCTACCTTTAATAATATACTAATATACTACCATAATAATAAACTGTTAATGGGGTTATCCTGTGTATTAAATAAATTTTAATGTGGAAATACTAACTTCTATGTTTCCCTGATAATGGTCCTACTGGACCAAAAATGTTTTTATTAAGATAATATTAATCCTTTTGGATAAAATTTTAATAATAAAGATCTTAGGATGAAGTAAATAATAGAACAGGAGATAATTTAATGAAGGTAGAGGGACACTTAGAAATGAGAGTCGACATCATTTAATCAAAATTCAAGGCACAAACACAATTTAAGAAAAAATCCAGAATTTATAAAAAGGGGGATTTAGTGGCAATCAAGAGAACAAAGTTTGGTGGAGGACTCAAGCCAAGGAACAAATATAGAAATATTAAGGAGCGTACATGATAGTAGAAGTTAATCTAAATGACAGATATTAGGTAGTTAAAAACCAGGATGTCATGATGGATCTCGGACCACATCAACTTGTGCAGGGTATTATGAAGCAGTTACAATCTGAGTCGGATCCGTAGCAAGAATTTATCTGTTACACCACTGCGTACTTATATAAACCAATGGACGATTTTCACATTTGGGCCCATTGAAGATAGCCTCAAATTAGCTGTCAATTAAGTTTCACAGAACGAAATATTGCGTTTGCAGTGTTGTCATATTCTAATAATGTATATGTTATATGCTTCAAGTACAAAGAGATAAAGCTTTAAAAGGTACATTTTTATCATATTATTTTATAGATTTTGCAATTTTATACCTTATATAAAATATTAATGAAGTAATATTTGTTTCGTTTGATATTAGTTGTAATAAATTATTAGATTTTTTTTTGGCAATTGCCCTTTGATAGGTTAGCGGATAGATTTGGCAATAGAGTCAGAACCCTCAAACCACCAGCTGCCAGATTGCAACAAATGCCTTTTAAATTTTATTATTTATACTGACATTTTACTATTTACTGTTAAAAACTGTTTTAAAATTATTTACTTTTTCGTAATCGTTACATATTAGTTTTTAAATATCTTATTGCTTTTAATTTATGTTTCATTTGTAATGTAAATTTCAACACTGCCAAACACCAATATTTCATTCTGTCAAACCCCATGCGATGTATTAATGTTGTTATAAATTGATTATTTTTTGTGTATATTAAGGCTTTGCCTATTTTTAATAAATAAACTTCTTCCACTATAAAACCAACCTAGAGGCATATTTGTCCTTATTATATGTGTTGCTAAAATGTTAACCCACCTTCAAAACACCAACATAGGAAACAGCTCAGTTGGAGAATATAAGCTAGGAAAAGCCAAAATGCAACAGTGATCAGTCAAGTTTACATAATACATTACAAATGCCTGTAACTTTTCTTTTTTTTCTTATTGAAACTTACCACAGGTAATCTAAGTATAAATTGTGATTCTAAGTCAGCTACAGGTTCTGCTTCTATTTTGGACATATTTTTTTCTTTTTAATGCACACTTAAGATTTTTTAATCCTTTAATTATACACTACAAACTATACAAATGTATATAAAGCTCAGTATAATAATTTATTTATATATTAATATATTGTATTCGTCTTACATTTTCTTGATTTAACTGTCAGTGTATCAGTGTCAATACGATAGATTCTTCTTCCATTCATTTGCTTGGCCTTAGCTACTAGGGCTATCCGGCCAGGATAATACTATAGATAAATAATATACTATAAGTCAATACCATCGAGCAAAAAGACAATAGAGGGAATGTAAAGGTAGTGGGGGCAAACATATTGTTAGACAGAAAGTGCGATCTTTAGAGGCCACTTTAAACAAGGAAAGAGAGTCTCTCTCCTTGTTTGACATCAAATTTAGTTGGGTTATGTTATTGTTTATCCCAAATGTCACATGAAATCTTATTTATATTGAAGTTTTTTAACAATCTTGTCGCATTTTAGACACTTATCATTAATAATTAATTAAAAATTTCTCGTCTAAGACACATTCTGAAAAATATTATATAGCTACTATTGATAAGTGTCGGAAAATTTAAATTTCGCGCATTCGCATTTCCGGATATGTCCGCCATCAGAGGCCACTTTTTTGGTCTCCTTTTCATAAGGATTAGATTCCCTCTTTTGTCTTATTGCTCGATGGTCAATACCAATAGAATATAAAGAGCAAAAGAAGCATGGATGAACATGCGAGAAACTAGGGAATTTACTAAGAAAACAAAACACATTCAATGCAAACAAAAAGAAGTCAAATACAAAGAATAAACTGACGATTTTCACATTTGGTCCCAGTGAAGATAGCCTCAAATTAGCTCAACTCTAGCACAGAATAATAAACAATCAGAATGCCCACTCTCAGATGCTGAATTTAAAGTTTTTCAGCACGCGCGCCATATTTTAGAAGGAAACACATAACACAGACATATGATTTGTGAGGTTATGTAATTGTTTATATTTATGTTTAATTATATTTATGTTTATATATTTAACAATGTTAATATAATTGTATAGTATGTCTATGATTGCCGTAAGTCAATTAAACCGGATTAATTTTTCAATGCACACCACATAAATTCACTGGTTCCCTTTAAAACATGGCGGAACGTGATGCGCGTACTTAATTTTACATGGAGAGTGGGCATTCTGATAGTCCGTGAGGTCACATGATATTTACACGAAATATTTAGGCGGCAGGTGTGTTTTTTTAGAATCACTTTGCTCAGTACACTGGCGTTACAGACACTAGACATATTTTATTAAATTCGCGTAAAAATAATATTCAAAGATTTCTATTGATGTTAACTTATAGAAATACACAATAATATGTTTCATTTAATTTGTATAAATGCATTATAAAGCGTTTTTATGAAGAACATTTGTTCGGAACATACTGTAACCTGTAACCGTAATCGAACGAAGGTGATATAAAGGTCGATTCACACACATCAGTCACGTCACAGTCACGGTACCGAACCGGTCCTGTTTGGTCACAGAACTATCAACTATCTGACAGCTGGCAAACTGTTCGTCAACTGATGAGTGTGAATGCCGGCGCCATATTTGTATTAAAGAATATTTTGTATGACGGATTGTTCGATTCGGCGCAATCACTGTGACGAGATGGTGACCAGACGTGACTGATGTGTCTGAATCGACCTTAAAGGTCGATTCAGACACATCAGTCACGTCACAGTCACGGTACCGAACCGGTCCTATTTGGTCACAGAACTATCAACTATCTGACAGCTGGGAAACTGTTTGTCAACTGATGAGTGTGAATGCCGGCAACATATTTGTATTAAAGAATATTTTGTATGACGGATTGTCCGATTCGGCGCAATCACTGTGACGAGACGTGACTGATGTGTCCTGAATTGACCTTTAGAGAGATATCGCAACGTCAAACTACCGTTTCAACACGTAAATAACGGATAACGGTCTATTGAAACCATCGAGCAATAAGACAAAAGAGGGAATGTAAAGGTAGTGGGGGTAAACATATTAATAGACAGGAAGTGCCATCTTGAGAGGCCACTTTAGACAAGGATAGACAGTCTCTTTCCTTGTTTAAGAAGTCAAATTTAGTTAGGTTCATTATATAAGGAAACAAGGTATGCTCACTAGTGGACTCGTTTTTGCACATTTCTGCGCCGACCAAAATCCACCATCTTTTCAATATGTCACATGTGTGTAGGGATGGTGACCTGATCCCGTACCAGTTACTTTGGAACATGTATTTTATTTATACTTGTGGAACTGATCCCTAACACCAATATATTATAAAAAACGAGTACGGGTCATGGCCGTATAAATAAAGATCTTTATTTATACGTCCATGGTACGGGTACTGTACTCATAGTGTAGCGTTTTTTTATTTAAAGTGTATAGAAAAGATTTCTGTGTTACGCTCCTGTTGTTTTTACCAAAGAAAACAATCGAAATAATATTTCAAGTTTTTTTTGACGAGATTTTAAATGCGTATATTTCTACCGATTCAAAAGTAAATATAGATGTTTTTTTTGTCTGTGTTTAGATTCAAATATCGAACCTTTTGTTATAAGCCAGGTAAAACTCAAGTTTAAAATACGCACGTATTTTGTTAATTTGTATTATGTAAATTTATGATGCCCCCTGATAAAAAAAAGGTTTTATTTGTTTTCTTCGTTAAAAACGCAATAAATATGAATTCCCCTAATATTATAGTTGTTTTTCGTTATTAGACGAGGGTCAAAAAAAAAAGGATATTTGTTTGTTTAGGCAATAAAGGAACATTTAAAATTTGTTTTTTTGTCGATACGAGCGAGGGGATATTGTTTTGGTTCTTGAGTTTGTGGGGACAGGTTAGCTGCAAGACGGAAGGGAAATTTTTGGCCAGTTTTCTTGTAAAATGTAACGAAGCAAAGGAGTCCAAGAACAGATTTGAAACGGTGTAGATGTTATACAATGTAGAGTCCAAGAAAAGATTTGAAACTGGGCAGACGGCTGACAATGTAGAAAGTCGGTAAAGAGACCGGCTAAAAAGTGTTGAAAATAGTAGACTATATTCTATGTAATATGTCAAATTTGAAAGGAGTAATCACTATTTTCATTTTTCTAAGTACCTAAGGGATTTGTGTTGCCTGCAAAAATTTTCGAAAGATAATCTCACATGTTGCCGTTGTGTCCAGTTTTATGTATTCCTGTTTTTTAAGAAGCCCTTTCCAAAGTCTTGTGTTCCAAATTTTTAACCTCAAGTTTGTAATATTTGTCCTAAGAAGCCGTCCCAGAGTATGTCTCACAGTATGGAAATAGATTTGATCGTGTGGCAGAGAAGGTAACCCCAAAAATCTTAGTGTGTTTAGTGAAACCAAGGTAACCCTTTTTTTGTTTTAAACTTTTGAAGGAAAATAAACATTAAAATAATAATTGCTTTCATACAATTTAAAAGTTTTAATAATTAATATTGTAAATCTTAGAGTGTGGTTATACTTTCAATTTGATTTGTTCTCCGTTGTAAGTAAGATTAAGATTTTATGTTGACAGCTAGCAGCTAACTTTATTATTTTTTTTGACAATAATTTGCTTTGGTTTTTTAAAGAAGATTAACCTCTCTATGAATGTTTTCATTTTAAAGATATTTCTTTATTTGTAATAAATTATTTCTGACACAGTTTCATTAACAGTACAACAGTTAATATTTCAGTAAAATTTGTAAATATTTATAGCAATCTCCTTTGTAGACAAATAAGCACGTAAGTTTTTGCTAATTTTTGTATTATGTTTGTATAATATGTTCTTGTAAAATCTGTATTTTTGATAACTGTTTGGTGAGACAAAAATAAATGTTTAATTTGTTTCTCTGATCTATTTTGAGTTTTATTTGAAAAAGATATTTCTTTTTTTTCTATATTTTTGATGTTATACAATTATTTCCCTAGTTACAACTAGTGGTTGTAATAGGTATAATTGGGCACCTCAAGTGGCGCCCTATAATAAATTTCTTGAGGTGTTTCCGTTTATTTTCATTCTGTTTGTCCCAAGAGATTTGTATAAGTACCCCTTTATTTCTTTTTTTTTGTAGTTGCCCCAATCTAACCCCCAATATCTTCAACTTATCCACGACCCAGCTCTCCAACAACCATCTGAGTGTCCGTATGCACTTGTTTCGATTATTTTGTTTGCCCAATCTTGTCCCCCATATTCTTACCCTGTGGTAAGCAAAATAGTCGTTACAATAGTAAGTGTAAGTGAGCATACCTGACCTGATCCACAAAAATACTTGGATCAACCACCTCTACATGCGTGACGTCTGCTTTGTTTACTTTTGCATTTTTTAACCTTACTTTGCAATGTATTGGAATTTAAATGTAAATGTGTTTTTGTTTTGTTTCGATTTTTTAAAATTATTTTAGCAAGAGTCTGTTCAGATCATTTTAAATATGAATTAATTGGAATAATGTATAATATTAATTTTATTTTATTTAATTTAACTACGATATTTCGTATCAATTTTGTACATATTTGAATTGCCGCCTTCAAAATGGCGGATTTTGGTCGTAAACGTGATTGGCTGTTCAAAATAGATGCGCGTGAGCATACCATGTTTCCTTATATCATGGTTAGGTTATGTTATTGTTTGTCCCAACTGTCACATGAAATTTTATTTATATTGAAATCTTTTACCAATTGTGTCACTTTTTAGACTATTATAGTTAATATTTAATTAAAACTTTCTCGTCTGAAAAATATTTTATAGCTATTGTTAATAAGTGTTGGAAAATTTAAATTTAGCGCCTTTGCATTTCCGGATATGTCCGCCATCAGAGGCCACTTTTTTGTCTCCTTTTCATAACGATTAGATTCCCTCTTTTATCTTTTTGCTCGATGATTGAAACGCAGGTATCAAGAGAGTTATCGCAAATTGTTCTGGGCGGGGTACGATAAGACTTACAGTGGTATTCATAGTTGTTCGCCAGGAAGAGTCGCCGGCGGTTCTTCAGTTAGCGAACTCTCCATCGAGATTTCATCCCCTCCAAATCGTTTCTACTCATTCATATAAATATTATAATGTATAATATAATAAAGTTTTTAATATTGGTAATATTATTAAAGCTTTTAATATTGTTTTT